TTTGTTTGTTTGTCTGTGTAAGATCTTGTTTAATTACCTGGCTTGTTTTTTTGTGAAGAGTTTTGTATGTGTTTCTTTCTCCAGGCTTCTGGTTGCTTTGTAAGTCTTTATATGCTGTTTCACTGTCTTTTATGCTTCATCAGGTCTGGTTTCCAAATAGGAAGATATGGTTTGTTGTTGCTTGTTGAAGACTTTTTCCATTCTTGAAACCTATGATTGCAAATCTTCTTTTTTTCCCTGATTGGCTGTTCAGAGAGATATGTACTATCTTTGCTTCAGTATGTTTGATTGCACTCATTATTCTCATAGGTGTTGTATCTCTTTCAATTTCATAAAGTCTTGTAGTATATTTGTTTCTTTGTGTTAGGATTTCTTTGTAATCCTAAAGTGGCATTATTCTTACCATGGCCTCGCCCATCGGAACTGCCCAGACTTCTTGCAGGTTTATTCTAATGTTTTTAAGTACTATTATTGCTGTTTTGAAGTGTCCTTGCTCTTCTATCTGTATATTCATTTGTGTGACTGTACCATAGTTTTTTATTGCCTCTTGGATTCTATGCTTGGAAAAGTTGCAGGAAATGTTCAGAATTATGATTTCTGTTTCTGCACCTTGTGTCTTGAGGTTAATTGTGTTTGACATGTCTATAGTCTTTTCTTTGCCCTTTTCTTTATGTTTGGATGGAAAGCTGCTTTCAAAAAGGTTGACTGTTGTTGGCCATATGGCTTTTGTGTAATTTTTGGGTTATTGCAGTTCAAGCTTATCCAGTTTAAGTATTTTGATGTCTTTTGTTAGGAGTTTTTTGTTTGCCTGGCTTAGTTCCTTGATGCATCTTTTCCTGTTCGTTTTTGTGTTAAAATATCCAGTGAACTATTCATTTCCCTGGACATGTTCTACATTGATAAATGGGCTTTCGATTGGGATTGCAAAGATCTTTGTAATTAGATCTAATTGCTCTTTCTTGCTGTTTCCAGAAAAGATTCCTATCAGTATGCCAATGCCGTAAGGTGATAAGCTGTCCTTTAGGTTGTATATATTGAATTAGCTGGGTAATGTAGCTGGCATCTTGGCAGGCTTATCTTTTTTTGGAGGTTGTAGGATGTTTGCTAACTTGGGTGCTTGTATTGTTGTTTAAGCATACAGTTGGGGTAGTATCTCTTTTTTGTTGATTCTTTTTTTTTTTTTCTGGTCTTTCTTTTAGGTATAAGATCTTGAGATTTTCATTTTCTTTATTGTTTGCCTTTTTTACACAGCCTATAAGGTCAAGCTGCAGTTTGAAGTATATTGTGTACCAGTAATTTCCGTTGGTAAATTCCATGTTGATGAGGTTGCTTTCAGTCTTAGATAGCTTAAAAATATTCATTAGATACTTGACTTGTTCCTCTTTATTTTCTTCTAGTGTATTTGTTATCAAAATGTCTGTTATGTATGCTCCTTTTTTTGTGATGAAATATGGATTACTTGATTGTATAGTTCTGTTTCTTGTTTGGTAGTTCACGCTTTTCTGAATGTCAAGTGGTATGTCTAGAAGCAACTTCTGGTCTTGCAGACTGTAATATTTGAAATGATTGCTTTTTGCATCTCTTCTGCATTTGACATTATTATTTCTGATATAGCTTGCTCTTTCTGTTCAGAGTTTAAAATTTCTATCTCGATTGAATGAGAGGGTGTCTGTGTCACATGACCTATATCCTGGTTTGCTGGGACCTGAAGGTCTTGTTGGTTTGAAGATTGTTCTTGGTGTATCAGATGACTGTTATTTATGGATGCTGTAGATTCTGGGTGGCTATCTTAGGGGTTGTGTTCACTCGGCCTAAGATTTATGGAGATAGTAAATCTGTCTGATAGATCTTTGATGATATGTTCGTCAAGTATAAACATGCACATTTCATTTTCCTTTTAGAGATTTTTTGCATATCTGCGAATGATATCTGCTTTGACAGTTTGCCTGGGATCAATGTTCATTATTTTTGCTGTAATAGTATCTAGCAGGGTAGTGTTAAATAAGATCTCCAGGTCAATTTCCTCAGTCTCAATTTTGCGAAGACAGTTGTAAATTATCTTGTGAAACTATAACTTATCGTTAGTATGATAATCATCCTTAAGTATAAACAGATAATCTATAATTTTGTCTTGTTTTTGTATTGTTTCTGTATCTAGTTGAATAGAGTCCTTATATGTGTTTGTACTATAAGACATCTTGTTTTTAGAGTATTCAATATGTGAAATGTTTGTGTATTTGTTTACTAGTTGTGTGTTTATTTGTAAAGGTGTGTTCTATTTTTGCTATGTTATCAGATATTTACATGTGTTTCTGTCATATATTTGTCATGTATCTTGCAGATGTCATGTCAGCACGTAGATGTATTGTTAGACTAGTATGCTACTATATACTGCAGTGTTGATATTTGATACATGTTTGTTAATTGTATTGACATGCTGTTAAAGTACTTGTCATATTAACAAGTTTGCTACACATTTTGTTATTTCTACTGTTCGACACATGTCTGTATATTTGCAATATTGTGATAGTATTGTGTTGACGTGTTGACGTGTATTTTGTTTCTTGCTGTTGTTTTGTTGTTACAGCTTTGGGACATGTGTGGACATGTTTAAACATGTCTGGTTGATATTGATGTACTGCTGCTATACATTTGTATAACTGTTGATCTTTTGGAGAAGTTAAATTGTTTCTGGTTTTTCCTACTTCTAAGTATTTAGATCGCATAACAGTTGTTGTTTTTATTGTTGTTTTGGGTTGGATGGTGTTTTTTTTTCTTAGTTACAGTAAGAGAAAGTCTTGGTATTCTTCTGACCTTTGCTTTAGTAACAAGGTTGCCTGATTTACCAGGTGTGATCTGACTAAGCAAGGTCCTTCTGGTGTCTAGGGAGATATCTAACCTGATGCATGACTGGCCAGTAGCTTGTGAAGTGCAATGCTAACTTTCTCTCTTGATTTAATTGTGAATTGTATTGTTTGTCTTTTTCTCTTTTCTGATAAGAAGTCCCAAGTGTATTTCTGTTTGTATGTTTTAAAAAAAAAGAAGAAAAGGAGTTAATTTGTAAAGTTTTGGTGTATATCTGTTCTGGTGTCTTCTTCCTGCTTGAGAGATGATTGCAAAGTGTTTCTTTTCAAAGGATAGTTTTTCCTGATATTTCCTTTGGATATTTCCTTTAGTTTTTTTTAGTTGCCAAAAAAAAAAATTTTTTAGAATTTTTGTGTTTTGCAGAAAAGATAATAAAATATCATTTTTATTATTATATTATATGATTCATTTATCTAACAAGCAAAAACTGGTTGTATGACTTAGTTAAGTCTTTTTTTGATTATGTTATAGATTTTTATAATATTATTTTATATTTGTATACTGTATATGTTGTTTATTATTATAATGTATTTTATTCAAGTTAGATCTTGTAATATTTTGCAAAGAACAATCTTGTTACAGATTGTATCACAATTACTTATGTTACAATATATTTAGTAATTTTATTTTATTTATTTAATCTTATATTATAATTTTTTTATTAGTTCTAATATTTATTATATTCTATTATAATTTTATATACGGTGGTGAAAAGAAATGACAATTTCATTTTTTTTAGAAATTGTGTCACCAGATAATTATTTCTGTTGTGTCGATACCAAAAATGGCTAGAGATAAGTTCATTACAATGTCGGCATTGCTAAAAAAAGGTTTTTTTTATTTCAGACATTACACATGGAATTTTTTGAAAAGTGACATCTCCTTGTCAAGTTGTTATGGAAGCACAGATATAGGGAAGTTACTACACTTCAAAGGATAACTGGTTTTCTGACCAGAACGTTATACAGATAAACCAATCAACTTGCCCAAACGAGAAACCTAAAGCAAGGGGACGTCAAGACCATTTAAAAAAACTTAGTCTTGCATAACAAAAACACCTTGGGCAGATCGCAGCGAAAAAAAAAGTGTAACTAGCAAGGAGATAGCAGAAACACTTAACAATACATACTCCAACCTTAATATTTCATCACGAACAGTTTGAAAAGGTCTTCAAAGACTTGGGTACAAGATGTGTGTTTTGCACAAGATCCCCTTTCTCATGAAATTGACCAAAAAGCGTCGGCTTACCTGGGCACAAAAATATCAGAAAAAACGTTGAAATAGAACAGTTTTTTCTAATAAATTCACATTCCAAATGTTTCGGAACACAGTTCAGGTCCGCTATAAAGCCAGACAACCAAGGCCAAGTCAAGGGATCGTGAAACATCTGTTTAAGATGCATGTGTGGGGAGCATTCTGTAACAGGTGATTTTTGAATTTCATGCCTTTACAGATACTATGAATGGTGAGTTGTATCATGAAATATTTACCCAAAATTTATTTGAAAATGCAGACTGGATGCTTGGATACAAATGGGTGTTCCAACAAGACAATGATCCTAAGCATTATGCTGGCTTACGATTGCTTTATTGGAAGAATGGTGTCCCCAAGTGCTCAACTGGCCATCATCATCCCCCAATCTTAATCTGATCGAAAATTTGTGATCGGTTATGAAAAAAAAGGGTGGAGAAGAGGGTCAACAATCTAATCTATGAAAAAAAAACCGTATAACAAGAGATTTTCGTGTCATTAATAAGGAAGGAGTGGGAAAAAATAGATGTGAAATTATGTCAAAAACTGGTGAGATCCATGTCAAAGCGTCTTAAGTTAGTTATAGACAAGAAAGGGGGCGAAACTAAATATTAAAAAATAATGTACATATTTTAGGTTAGTTATAGCGAAAATCTTAAAATAAATAAATAAATATTGAATAAATTAAATGATATCACTTAATTGCCATTTTTTTTGCCACCACTGTATATAGTTACAATTATAAGTAGCTAAATTCCATCGCTAGTTGCGATATCCACACATTAATATTAAAAAAACCCATTATTTTGACCATCCAGACTAGATATTTGTTTTATTCTTACGGTAACTCAAGCAACTGCTTAAGTTGTGGAGAGTCGGGAAATTCAGTCAAATTTCATTTGTAGAGGTGGCATGAATGGTTTATTGCGTCTTTTAAAATCCTCGGCAAGTTTATTTATTCGCCCCTGTAAATGAAAAATTTACCGTAAGCCTCATAATGGATTTTCATAATAAACCAAAATGATAATACGAACAATGTATACCTCTAACGCTACGAAGTGGCAAAAATCTGATTCTATTAATGGAATCGAAGCCCTATCAATTACTAATCTAGTTTTATGAAAGGGCCATGAACAGTATAGCCCAGATCTAAAGTCCATAAAAAATATTCAACTTCTTCACCTTTATGGATGAGTCAGATTTAGAATATACATAAATAAAAAATCAACGTTAATAATCCTGCTTCACTGGGAACACCTTTTTTAAGTTCAGTTGTTGATTTATTGATTTTTTTGCTCTTAAATGTACTTTCACGAAGTCTTGCTTTTTACTAAGTGGTATTACATCAAGTGGTTTGATCTCATTGTTAAGCACAGTTACATCGTCGACAACACGAAAAGTCAGGACGTTTTTTTGTGCCACTTACAGCACGATTAAGTTGAACTTCATATTCTGCAAGGCGCCCAAAGAACAAAGAATTTATATAGGATATAACAGCTTATCACAATGCAATTCTTCTGAAATCTTGACAGGAGAATAGGAATATCATATCTATAAATTTGTTAAATAATTAAGTAATATAATCTTCAGGCTTCCTCGCCAAATTACTGACAAAGACGAAATATAAATCAACATACAAATCGTTATACGTGCGAGCAACAGCTTTGCTCAGTTCTTATTTATCGGGTTGCATATAATTTTCCTTGCTCATTAAATGCATCATTGAAACTTCCCGAAGAACAGATGAGGTTGGTGATGGTATTACAGGATGCAGGATCACATACGGGTTGGTTCAAGTTATTTAATCCCATTCACAGTTGGTAAAAAACTTTGGATATGGACATGGCCAAGAAAGGACAATAATTGATGCAGATGCCTTAAAGTACAATCGCAAAGGGCAAATTTTACTTAGAATAGTAAGAATGCAAATTTACTCTTCAGTTCCATGTTTTCTCATAATACTCATATGAATCGTTCCACTTTAATCCATAATTCATTGCCTTGTCAATAAAACGTTGCTGATATTTACAAAACTTCTGTGTAACGTTTACATTGCCAACCACCCACTAAAGCACATAAATAACATCAAAATGTGGCTGAGATGCAGGAACCAAAAATTCAACTTGCTACGTACCTCAATCATGGCTCCATCTCTAACTGTTTCTTAATACTCACGAGATCAATTTCAATTTGTTCATCTTATTCCTCATTCTCGTTACAACTGATGGAAGAAGCGGATGTAGATGGGTCTTGGGTTGTTTTGATCTGCCATATCCAAAAAGTAGGGAATGTGTGAAGCATTTCTGCAAGCTAAACATAGATTTATTCTGTACTGACCTTTTTAACTGCTTCACATTCGATTTCATCGTTACGTTTGGACTTACCAGGTAAAATATGTTTTCGGTTAGACTTCTGTCAAAGGAACATAAAAACATGTGATCTACTCATTGGCAAAAATAAATCATACCAGCTTCTCATCAGTATTTCCATTACCGTTGGAGTTGCTTTCGAAGCCCCTTGAGTTACCACACAAGCCATTTTCCAAAATTCATTATTAATAATATCAATCTCATGAATAAAATGTTTACCTCATCTAACCGCAATCACTTCTCTTTATTAAGTTTTTCATGTATATATTCATTTTCAATATTGTTCCAGAATCTGTTAACTTCCCGAAATTTGGCTCGGTGATTCTACAAGAACGTGAATGTGATAAATACTAATAAGAATGACACTGGCAAAGCAGACGACAACGAACATGCAAGATCATAAAGCGGGTCACGTGCAAGAAGCCCGCCGTAGTTATCAGAGTTCTTAGAACTACTAGAAGTTTATCATACTACTTTTCCATAGACCACAACGAACGTGCAAGATCATAAGGCAGACTACATGCAAGAAGCCCGCCGTAGTTGTGTGAGTTTTGGACTCTGGGAAACTTCTATACTGCATTTGCCAATTATGATTAAAAAACAGGAATCACAAAACCGTCTCTGCCGGGAGTTGGACCCGGGTCACTCGATTTCTCAGGCAATTATCTATCGCTAAAATACTGATATTTGCATTTGCTCCAAATTTTTCCTCTAAACTTTTGACACGTTCAATTATTTGTTTAACACGATATTGATAAAGCATTAGAAAAATCGAAGATTTTCATAAACTTATATAGTGTAACTGGGAGAAATGGAACGCGACGTGACCGATCGCCGCAATAATTACGAATACAGTACATACACTGTATTTCAATTTTTCCTTACTAAAGTTATATTTTTTTTCTTATACAAAAATCCACTAATCAAGTTAACAAAACACTTTCCAGTTAACAACAGTATAAAAAACTTTAAGCAAAAGATTTGACTTTTTAAGAGACAACAATTATATAATTAAATGTTTTACTTTTAATTATGAAAAAGTAAAATGACCTTTACTTTCTTCTATTGGTATAGTGAGTTTAATTGTATTCTTCTTTCAATTTTTATATAAGAATAAGCAGGTAATCTTGTCAAGAATCTTAAAAACAAATTCTATATAAATCAATTACTAGGTTCAAAGTATATTAAAAAAAATCTTAGTCAATCAGATAAATCCAAACTTCTTAATAACTTTTTTACAATAGATGTCAAACTTGATATTTCTAAAGATCAATTTAATAAAAACTTTTTAGAATTCAAACAAAAAATTACAAAAATTAATTTTAAAAAATTGGATTACTTCTTTTTTACTTGATCTATCAAATCTTATAGAAATCAACAAACTTCTATTAAATATTAATATTAATCAATTTCTTCTATTTACAGATAATCTTTATCTGAATAATACTGTAATATTAAAGTAATAAAAAAATACTTTTATTTTAAAATCTTTTAAGTTATCTGAATTAATAATAACTTTTCTTTCTAACTTGATTTAATAATAATAACAATCCAGTTCAATTTCTAATATTGGAAAATAACCTCTATATTTTTTAAAAAAAATTATTAACATTATAGCTCTAAAACAATTAAAAGCAAAAGAAACATTTTATATGTAATAAAAACAAAAGCAAAAATAATCAAATAACAATATAATTATTTTAAGCTAACCAAACAATTCAATAAATAAATAGTGCCTGCATTATTATAACTAAGACTATAGCTATATATATATACTTAAAACCTTTTTACTTAATAAATTTTGATATGTTGTATATTTCACATTCAAGTCAAAAGTAAATATCATAATTATATTTAATTATATATTATATAAAAAAAAAACAAAAAAAACAGGAATATTAATTATAGAAACTTTATTCAAAAATATTACTAAAGATATGTTTCTAAATTAAAAGCAAAAATGTAATTCAAATATTTCTTATTATCAAAAAAGTTTATTTTAATATATGATAAAAAAATATCTATAAAGACTTTTTGCAATTTAAACTACTTAATTCAAATGTTTTTTAAATTATATTTTTATTAAAATAATAAATAATTGATCTGTGAAATTTTATATACTAAATAATTTAGGAATTTATTCTTAAACACTAAAAAAAACATTTTATAATTACTAAAAATTTTAACTTATATACTGCATCAAATCAGTTCCTTAAATAAACATATAATCATTTTTTTAAAAATATATATATACAAATACTTAAACAATTTTATAAATATTACAAAAGCTACAAATAAAATATCTATTGTTATATATTATTTTTATCTCAAAAGAAAAATAAAGATAAAAAACTAATAACAAAGAAATACTTTATTTAAAAGAATCAATATATTATACTAAAGTTTCTAAAGTATATCAAGATTAATATAGTTTTGAAATGAAATTGTTTGTGACTGAAAAACTTTCTAACTGAACTTTATTTTTTTATTTTTTATTTATTTAATTTTTTCTTTTATTTATACATTTTTGCATACTTATTACATAATAATAAAATAATAAATACAAATTAAGCAAAAACTATAAAAATCTCATAATAAAGCAATTGTTATTTAATATTCATATTACCTATATTATATAATTCTATTAATAAATCTTATAGTGTCATAATAAATTCTTGCATAAAAAACTCTTTTCACTAATTCCTCTGCCAATACAAAAAACAGACATTCCAAGAAAATTTTATATTTCTTTGTAATAAAGTCTATACACTTTCATTAACAACACTTATACCAAAAGACCATAATCTATTTCACTTGTTTCTTTCTTTCTTTGATATAAACTTCTTATATTTTTACAAGTAAATATAAGAAATATCTACTTACAAAGTTAAAGGCAAGAAAACTTTACTAGAAAAAAGAACCTGCAGAAAAAACACTCTCCTCTCTTCCTCCAGAGATTCAAGACTTTAGAAAAGATTGATATAGTTTTTGAAACTTTTCTTTCATTTTCCTCAAGCTTCTCTCTATTTTTTCAAGTGTATAAACTTTTTTTATTTTTTCTAAAGAATTTTGCTTACTTCAGTTTGATCTTGAATTTTTGATTATACCAGAATCCTTGAATAGTGATTGGTTCTAATTTTAAGAAGAATTTACAGCTACATATAATGGAAAAACTATTACCATTTTTTTTTCTATACACAAAGAATTACGTAATGCATTTAATACAGAAAAATTACAAGCATTAGAGATAAAAAAAAATGTATGAATTGTGAAAATTTAACTATCTATATAAACTTGAAAAAAATACTATTTACTAGTGTTCAAACCAATTCAAAATTTATTGAATATTATAATAATTTGTGTAATTAATATAAAGAAGAATCAATTCTATATTTTCGAATTAAGAGTAGATAGTTTAGAAATATTATCACATAAAACTGCTCTATTTTTTTTAATATCTTTTTATATTCTTTTAAAGAGTTTTAAAAGATCTTTAATTTTTTGCAAGCTTTCAGATGATATAGTTTCTATTGATATTTCATTCAGATTTTCAGTCTTATAAAATATAGATGATTTCTTATATAAATTTTTATTAGTAGGCTTGAATTTTGAATTTTGATTTTTGTTTCTTTTACAACTACCAGTATTGAAATATCACTATCTGGATTAGCTAAAGATAGATTCCAAGTATTTGTACAATTCTTTTTTCCTTTTCAAATCTGATAAAAACAAGTATTGAACATATGATATTTATCTCTAAAAATCTTTAAAGGTTTGAATTTTGTATTTTTGTATTGCATAATATTTTCATAATCAGCAGGTGATAGTTCGACTGCATCAGATTACATGGTCTTAATAATAGTAATATTGATAATATCAGTAATATCAGTAATTGATAATATCAGTAATATTAGTAATATCAGTAATATTAATAATATCAATAATATTAGTAATATTTGTAATATATACATATTTTTCAAAATATATGGTCAATATATATACATTGAGAAATATTAATATATCAAAAGAATATTGATTTGGGAGTACTAGGGAAGTAAAACTTGAAGAAGCTTTACATAATAGTTGTATAACCAATTCTAAACTTATTGAGGATTTTAAAAACTATCAGAAAGTATATTCAGAGTTTAATAAAATATTAAACAGAATAAAGCACAATTACAACTTGATATAAATCAAACCAATAAAGATAAAGATAAACTTTTTAAGTATAGTCATCAATTTATTAATGAGATTAAATGACTGAAAGTAGACAATACTAATCTTATATCCCAGATTACCCAATTACAGATTTTCTATGATAAGTATAAAGTTAGATATGATATTCAATTAAAAGAAATAAAATCCTTCAGAGTTTCAGTGGGACTATAGTGCACTGGTAAAAGCTTGATACTTCTATACTAAGGTTACAGGTTCAAATCCTGGTGATGGCAAAATTCCTGTGGACACATTCCAGGGATGATCATAGCTAAAACTATGAAACCAATCATCAAAGTGTCATAGCACTACAAATCTCACTGGAGGTCCAGGGTCTCATGAGTACTCATCATGATGCTAGTGAGTAATCTTAATACTGGGGCTGGATGTGGCAGTGATAAGCATCAGTTGCCTGACTATCACTACACAATCAGATTGGACCAGCAACTTCCCTCCCTTTTAATCGCTTTTCTAAAACCTAGGTTTTAGAATAAATCAAATAGCTCAAAGTTGATATTTGGCCTAAAAACCCGATATAGTTCTCTATACAAGTGAATTATAGTTGGAACATAATTGTATTAACAACATATGTAAAAACTTGAAATTAATAAAGTATAAAGGGCAAGGCCCAGCTAGTGTTTTTAAAAAAAAAAAAAGAAATAAAATCCTTCAGGCTATGATTAAGATATTAGAGAATAAGTTAGTATTAGTTCAAAAAGATACATTTTTGATTCAGGAAAACTTATTAAAAACAGAATCTGAAAATTTATCTATTAAATTTAAAATAGATAAGTTTAAATAAATAGAAGATGAATTGGAGCATGTGAGAAGTAAACTTGATTGCCTAAAATCAGAGACTATATCAAAACCTGTAGACTTTTTGGGTCATTGCTCTGCAATAATTAATGGAGGTAATGAAGGGCAGAGCCTTATTATTTCTTCAATAAAAAATATATCAAATTCTGGAGACATATTTAAATCAAAAAGTCTTATGAAGTATTTTGTAAATAAAAAGAAAATAGAACTGGCAGAAAAAATATATACTTCTCAAACTAGCCAGGAGTCTTTAACTAATGATATATCCAATATAAAAAATGATCTAATAATAAGAAAAAATAAAACAATATCAATTATTGCAAATAAGCAGAATCCAGAACCTTCGATTCAAGATATTATAATAGGAGGAGCATTAAATACTGGCAAATCTCTCATTAACAATGAGTATCAAGCATCTTCAATTATCAAGCTAAGTATCTTTGTCATAATAATGATATTTATTATATGAATTCTATATAGGCTTTTTTTATATAAATACAAATCCGATATAATAAGAGTCCAATCTTAAATGTGAACAAATATATATTACCTTTTTATAGAAATAAACATGCAGAAAATGAAACCTTATCTTATGGATATGGATGAAACTAAGGTTTTGATATTTAAATAATTATTTTTTTCATT